TTTATTTAGAGTCTTTTAGGATTTCTTCATCCCAGCGTTGTGGCACATGATTGTAATCCCAGCAATTCGGGAGGCCAGACAGGAGCATTGCAAATTCAAAGCCAACCTCAGCAACTTAGTGAAACACTGTCTCAAAAAGAACTGTTGATGTTGCTCAGTGGTTAGCATTCCTGCTGGGTTTAATCCTCAGTATGGAAAAAACAAGAAAGGAAGATCTCTTGAGTCGATTTTTCTGATATTTAGTATTTCTCAGGGAACAGTCACAGCGAAGAGCAACTCATAGCCTCACAGACATTTAGTTGATTGTAGTTTCAATTTTATTGTAATAATAGTAAAAACAGTTCCTCTTCCTCTCTGTGCTTTGCTTAAGATTTGAAATCATTCTGCCAGAAATCATTCTTCATCCTTCCCCCAACCTAGTCTTACATATATCACACAAAATGTGTCTGTACAGTCTTCTGGTGGTCTGCATTCTCTCCTGCAGGTACCAATTGTGGATAACTGGTCAGATCGTTATGGCAACCTGGGTCCCTTTTGAGCTAAATACTCAAATATCTTGAAGCCAGTCTTCACTGGCTGCAGTCTCATTCCCTGGAGGCCTTACCAGCATCCATTTCCCTCTTCTCCATCCCAAGGAAGGGGCCTGCTTTCCTGGGATGAGGAGGGAATGGTATCCCCCTAGAGTTCATGGGATTCATCCAATGAGGTGGAGATTCCCTGTCTACCAGCTCCAGGAGAGGTTCTCATTGCTCCTGCAAATCAATGAAGGCCACACTCTTCACTGCTGCAGGATTAGGTCTGGTCTCTGATATGGGCCAATAGGAGGGAGGAATTGGGAAGGCACCTCTGTTCTCTCCTTAAGGCCAAAAGGGGAAGCCAGCTTTAGGTGAAAGCAAAGGAAATGGGGAAAATTGGATCACAGCATCCAACCAAACCTGAAAGCCCCTCAGCTCCTTACTGGAGGGTGTTTGAGGTGGGTTTTCTGTTCTAAAGTCTCCTCTGTCAGACTTCATTCCTGTACCCCACTGAACTAACAGACTGGTCCCCAAATTGTCCCAAGTGCCACCACCTCCATTGCCATGCTGTAGTCTAAGTCACTCGAGATCTGGCTCTGGAGCCCCCTCCCAGCTGCTGAGGTACAGCTGGAAAATGCCTTCTGTGGTGACATTCCTGGAGATTTGTTCCCACTTAGCAAGTCACGGTGATTCACAGGATTCATTTCATAAGTTATTAGTCTGCTAAATTTGCTAGGCTTGCCAATTTACCACAAACTTTAATATTCCTAAATATTTTCAGTATATTAATATTATGAAAACATTCCTTTTGAACATATTTGTAGTGATATTTGTATCGATTTGTGGAAATAGAGTTCTTCAATCTTGATATGCCTAGTTTTAAAAGGCATTGGTGCATATACTTTATGAATATAAGCAAAATCTCAGCATTTCATCTTGAATTATCCTCATTGTGTAGAAGTTTCCAGAACACCTTTTCTTTTTTTGCCACATTGTAGTTTTCAGAATCCTTTCTAATCTGACCAAATTGTCAAATTCTTTCTAATCTGACCAAATTGTCAGGCTAGAAAGTTTGCCACAAAGTTTTTTTTTTTTTTCCCTGCACACTTTTTTCCTCCTATTGAGTAGTGTATTCAATTCCTAGAGCTGCTGTGGCCACACCAGATGGTTGTCTCACAACAGAAATGTCCTCCCATTGTGTCTGTGTCTCTGCATCTCATAGGGACACTGGACATTGGTTTAAGACCCACCTAAATAGCCTCATCCTTATTTGATCATGTCTGCAAAAACTACCTCCAAGAAAAGGCTGCATTCCCAGGAATGGAGGGGGTAGGATTTCACCTTATCTTTTGGGGGACACTATTCAATCCACAACAGATGGTTTGGCTTCAGATTTGTAGGGTGATTTGAAGTTTTAGTTGACTGTTTTCCTTCCTTCCTTTCTGTGCTGGGATTTGGACCCAGAGCCTTGAGCAAGCTTGGCAAGCACACTATCACTGAGCTATCCCTGTCCTTGACTGTTTTACGTCTCTCAATAACAAATGGATCTTAAACAACTCAGTTTGCCTATGCTCAGCTCCCACGATGCAGCTGGAGGGAGGGGGGCACCGGGAGATGCCAGGGGTTGAACGGTCAAAACTAGAGGATCCAGGAACCAAGGTGGGTACCGAAGGGCTAAAGATGTCCAGGGAATAGACAGGAACTGGGAGAAACTAGAGCATGCAGGAAGGGACCCTAAGATGGCAGAGTCCTGGCTCCGCTGCTTTGATGCCCAGAAAGCTTGCCTTTGGGGAGGCCGGGGGGCGTGGGCTTCTTCCCTCTGGTTCTGGCAACCACCCCATCCTTGCCTCAGAGGGCCGCTCCTTGTTGCAGGACGCCTTCCCACCGCCGGCGCCTCTCCACGACCCAATCCAGCTCCTGTAACGCGCCTGTGGACGTACACTCCTGCGCACCCTCTGAAGCCCTGCTCCAGAGTCCCGGGTCCCTAAGATCTTCCCCAGGCCTTGCCCTGCACCAGGTTGCAGCTCCCGCTGTGCCCTCTGCACACCTATTTCCCAAAGCCCCGCTTTGCAATCAGGCGGGGCTTGATCAAGCCTTCGTCGAGTCCTAGAGTACCTTGGTTCTCTGCTTCCCCGGTCTCCCTTCCGCGTTCTCCCCCTCGCAGGTATTGGCAGTACCTGGCCTAGACTCTGAACCGCGGTGTTCCTGGGGACACTTGAAAGCCAGCAGGCTGGTGCAGCTACCGCACGAACTGTAGAGGCGGGACGGAGGGTGCCGTCCCCAGCGGGGATTGGTGGGCGGGGCTGGAGGGCGGACCTGGAGAGGAGGGAGCGCAGCACCTTGCGGGGATTGGTGGAGGTGGAGAGTGGCGTGGCACGGGGCGGGGCCGTCTCCAGGGGAACGTGACGCTTTCCGCTAGCCTGGACTCCACTGCGTGGGCGTCCTGCTGGTGGCCTCGGTGCCCGCTGGTGCTAGTTCTCCGAGCTCGGGTGCGGCTCCAAGGGCCAGGGCGGTGGCGCGGGGCTGGTGTTGGAAGGGACGGTGGCGTCCCTGGGCGCGGGCAGACTTTTCCCGGTGGCTCCGACCTTTGAGGGCCAGCTGCAGGGACCACTGATCCGCGAGCGAGGCGCGGCTCCGGGAGGAGCGTGATGGCTCGACCCCGGCGGGGGCTGTGGGTGCGGTGGGCGCCCCCGGTATCCGCAGCATCCTGAGGGCGGATTGTGGTCCCTGGGTCTGCTTCCAGGTTCGGAGAACAGACACGGAAGGTGGTGGCTTCTAGGTCCCCCTGGACTACGCAGCCTCAAAGGCTTACAGCTCCAGAGGCGCACTGGAGGAGCAGGACGGCCAGTCCCCTGCTGCCAAGGGACTGGACAGTTACGCCTTCTTCACCGAAAGGTGCAGGGGACCCTCGGGCAGGGAGGTCAGACCATGACCCAGGGGCCAGAATTAGCCAGGTTTCACAGTTGGGGACAGACTTAAAAATCACTAAATATTTTACAAAAACTGGTCTCTGTAAAGAGAGAAAAGCCTCAAAATTGTATTAACAAGCACTGAGGGAAATGTCATATGTTATGGGTGACTGGAATCCTATGCCCCAACTCGCTGCTCCCTTTTAGCCTGCAACACTGCCTGCCGGTCCATTTCACTTCCTAGTACATGGAAGGAACTGTTCCCCAAGTTGACACAGCTCCCTTACTGCTGTGTTGTTAACAGTAAGGGCTACTTTGGGTCAAGGACTGCCCCAGAGCCTTATCTGTAGCATCTCATGAAATCTACCTGCAACTGACCCTATCATACCTGTGTTTGTGTGGATCCAAGGCCTCTGGACCCCAGCATCCTCAAGTTGAAGCTCCACCCCAGTGTGATGGTCTTCAGGGGTGGACCTTGGGAGATGAGTGGGTTGAGGTGAGGACAGGAGGGTGGGGCACTATGACAGGATCTGTGCCTTATAACAAGAGGAAAACAGCCAGAGCACTCGCTACTCACCCTCTCTCTGCCACTGAAGTCACTTTGAGAAGGTGTCATCTGTCAGCCAGGAAGAGAGCGCTCACCAGGAACCAAGTCCACTAGCTTCATGACCTCCGACTTCCACACTTTAAACCTGTGAGAAATAACTGTCATTATTTAAGACCTGACCTCATCTGTCCCCAATCTGTGGTGGTTTGTTATAGCTACCTCAGCAGGACTAACAGAGTTTCCATCTTACAGAGGAGGAGACAGACAATCAGGAAGGGTGAGGAGCCCATATAGGCCAACCAGTGGGAGGTGCCAGACACAGGTGGCCATTTCCAATGACCCTATGGTGGGTTTTACAGCTGACTGCTTGTGTTACGATTGTCTTGATTGACCTCAAAATTATTTCCATTTTTCTCAGGAAAAAATAGAGTGAAATTTCTATTTCTCCTATTCCTACCATAGATTATCTTTCCCCATTATGGTTAACTTTTATTAAACAAGCAGTACCTATCCCGTGTAGAGTATAGAAGAATGAGAAAAAACAGGTGTGTTAGTTTGCCAGGGCTGCTGTAACAAGCACCACACAGACCAGCTCTGGGGGGGGAAGGCCAAGGTCAAGGAGCCAGTAGGATTGGCTCCTTCTCTATCATTGGCTGGTAGATGATCATCTCCTCCCTCCACCCAGTCCCGTCATCTTCACCATGTCCAGGCTTCCCCCTTCTCATGGAGTAGGGCTCATCTAATGACCTCACTTTAAAGGATTAACTCTGTGAAGACCCTATCTCCGAATAAGGTCACATCTGAGGTGCTGGGTTTGGGACTCCAACATTAAAATTTTGAGGGTGGACACAACTCAACTCAACCTGAAATAGCAGGTGAGCAAGAGAGAAAGCAAACCCCACCCATGCCCCGGCCACTCTCCTTGCTGTCTTGGGCGTCTGTCCTCTATAGTTAACAAGTGTTCTCAGCAGCAGGATCTCTTGGCGGCGGGTAATGTTCTTGGCCTCTGTGGGCCACAATTGGCGTTCCAGGGCTGGCTGGTGGGGGGTCAGGACCTGAAGGTTCCCAGGCCCAGAGGCATAAGCCAGACATTGGGACAGGTCTGTAGCCCAGATACCAGCTTACAGCATTCCCCAGGGAGTTGGAGGGCGGCAGAGGGGTGTGTGTGTTGGGTATCCATGTCTAAATCATGATGTGTACCTTTCGATAGCAAGAGCAGGAAGGAATAAAATGCACCTTGTGCACACCCCTGTGCACCTCAGAGTCCGCATGCAGACGCTCTGCCCCCAGTGGTGCATCTGGAGGTGGAGTACCTGCTGTTGTAGTAGCCCGTCCCGGCAGGCGCTGGGCAGGTGTTTCAGCCTGTTGTGACTGCCTCCCTTTGCTCTCTTCCTAGGGATGGGACAGTGCCCCCCAGAGACGAAGGTGAGGAGTCTGAGGGCCCCCTGAAGGAGCAGAGCCTGAAGGGGACCTACATCCAGCTTGTCCAAGGGGTGCAGGAGTGGCAGGATGGCTGTGTCTACCGAGGGGAGTTTGGGCTCCACATGAAGCTTGGATATGGTGAATTCTCTTGGCCCACGGGTGAAGTAAGTGCCTGAGCTGTGCTCCCACCACCTCCCACAGGGGCTAGGGGCTGGGCCTCTCTCCCAAGAACCAGGTGGTGGGAGTCTTTGGACACCTCCTCAGGAAGGATTTCGGCTGACACCTTCCTAGGGAGGATGCCCAGAGGAAAGTCCCTCCAGACTCCCCACAGTGCATGGTTTCCTGGGGTGCGTGGGGGGAAGTCGGGGAAACTGATGTAAGAAGACAAATTCTTATTCTGGGCAGATGTTTTAGAATTGTGAATTACTGCAGCAACTTGTAGGCTTATACTGGTGGAATCACCTTATTCAAGATGAAACAGATGGGGAGCACATTCTTAGAGACAGAATGAGGCACATTCTTGCACTCTGAGCTAGGCCATACCCAGGACTTCAAGGGCTGAGACCAGGAGCCCAGAACCCTTTGTGTCTCCTGGTGCTCCTGGCTGGGAACAGTAGCTACGTGGGCAGCACTTCTGGAGCATGTGCTGAGTTCTGGGGGCTCAGACCTGTGGGATGGAGGGTCTTGAAGATGCCCAGGTGGAGGAGTCTGCCCTGGCGGTGCCTAGCCATGGTGCAGTTCAGCTGAGACCTCATCAGGAGGCGATGCAGGGCTGTGTGTGGGGGGGTGGGTTGTGAAAGGGGGCAGGGTGGTCCCGAGTGCTGGAGCCCTCTGGGAAGGCCTCATGGGGGATCACTGATTCACGGCTCCACCCATCTGTTCCTTGTGTGAGTCTGCCTCTGGACACCTGGTTTCTCTGACTTTTTGGCCCAAGGCTGGGGACACCTGGGCCAGGCCTTAATGTTTGCCCTGGCTCCCCAGCTAAAGAAACAGCAGGTGAAACAGGACCCTCTCAGCCCAGTTCCAAAGTCCTGGGGTCCTGCTGGCTAGCTTCAGGCTGGTGAATGCTCTCCTGGCACGTGCGGTCTTGCATGGGACCACAGCAGACACAGTGGCGGCCACCTGTTCTTTTCAACCAGGGCAGTTCAGAGTACGGGTGTCACAGGGAGGGTGGTCAAGCCATGGGAGGGACACACTTGTCCAGAGGAGAGCGGCCACAGGGAAAGATCAGCCATCTCCCAACAGAGTCTGAAGAATGGCCAGGTGGAGGGCCAGGAGTCCTCCAAGACCGCAGAGCGGGACTGTGCATGGAGCACCCGAGACCAGTGCCTGTCCACCTGGAGTGTGCCCCCAGCTCAGGGAGACCCCAGCCTCCTCAGGGCCCTGGCGGGTGCCGAGCCCAGACACAGCCGTCCTCAGGCCTCGACTTGTTTTACTCGCACGGTGGCTGCAAGGCCTGGTTCCTTGTCCACAGTCCCCGGTTCGATCCTTCCAGCCCAGGTTTCCCCCAGGGATGGGAGAACATGGCCGGTGTATTTAGGTGGGGGTCAGCTTTTCTACCCTGGGGCTGGGGCCATTGGGTGCGTCCAGCTGCAGCAGCTCTTAAACCAGAGAAGGAGAGGACAAGAGCACCCTGGAGGACCCGAGCACATTGACTGTCTCTGAGACCCGTGTGTAGCCTGGTCCATTCTGAGGACCAAGGAGGGGCCGAGAGATGACCCGAGTTCTGAGGAGGACGCAGCCGATTCTCGGGTGTGGAAGTGTGAGGCCCCAGAGCTGAGAGTTCCCCTGATGATTTCTTTTAAATGATTTGCACTTGGCTTTTGTTGGTGAAAGGTTGGACTCAGATAATCTGCTCCAACATCCTACACATCAAGTGAGCATTGGCAGAATGGAGACTCCATCCCGACTGCCTCCCTACTCCCCGAATGTCCTTCATGGGCCAAACTCTGTCACTAATGGAACCCAAATTTAATCCAGTGGAATTAAAAAAGGTCTTTCTTGGTTCTTGTTACAAAAGTTCAAGGGTAAAGTAGCCTCAGGCTGGGCTGGATCCAGGAGCTCATCATCCAATCAGGCAGGCCCTCGATCTTCCTTCTTCATATGGGGGGCCAAGACTGGCCTTCTACTGTCTGGCCAGTCTCTAAAGGTGGCTGCACATGTCCCTAAAAGAAGTCCCTAGCTGAATGCAGGTGTGCCTTAGAGTCAGGTTGTGTGACCAAACCAGTCCAGGCTGAAGCTGGGGTGAGGAGTCCTTGCGTGGGGCCAGGGTCACATGGGGGCTCACGTCTGCAGAAAGGGCATCATCATGGCCTCCTGTGGGGCACCGCGACTGGCTGCCTGTCAGGTCTAGCTGCTGGAATGCCCGGGGCTGGGTGTGGCGTCAGGAGTGGCGCTGAGCACACCCACTGGGGTTCCCGAGCTGTGGGGGAGCCCACGCCCAGCCCCCCATCCAAGTCCTAAGAAGTCCCACCTCCCCACCATCCACCTGTGACCTTATAGGGGGCCCTGTGGGGTGGGGAGGGGGTCCTGACCTGTCAGTACCCCAGGACAGGTAGTCCACCCTTCCTGATGCCCCATCTCCAGCTCTGAAACCCCCAAACTCCCCACCCGAGTCGAAGGCAGGAGAGGGGCACGGTCACCAGGGACCTCACTGCCAGGCCCCCGGGTGCTTGGGGTGACCACGCTCAGGTTCACGTTGGCCACCTGGACTTCAAAGGGGGCGGTGGCTAGTGCAGCCCTGCAGCCCCACTCGCAGCACAGAGGTCCCTGTCATGGCCTGGGTGCCTGGGACCGTGGTTCCCAGGCACTAGGCCTACTGAGCTCTCCACTTGACAGTCCTACCACGGGCAGTTTTACCGGGATCACTGCCACGGCTTGGGCACCTACATGTGGCCTGACGGCTCCAGTTTCACGGGCATGTTTTACCTCAGCCACCGAGAAGGCTATGGCACCATGTACACGAAGACCAAACTTTTCCAGGTAAGGGACGTGGCTGCCAGCAGGGGTGGGCCTGCGTGGGTGGAGGTGAGGAGCAGGGCCCTGCCTTCAGGTGAGCCCTGGGTGTGCTGTGTATCTAGGCTACTGGATAAAAAGGTATCTAAGTCTTGGCCGGCACAGTGGCGCACACTTATAATCCCAGTGGCTCGTGAGGCTGGGACAGGAGGATCATGAGTTCAAAGCCAGCCTCAGCAAAAAGCGAGGCGCTAAGCAACTCAGTGAGACCCTGTCTCTAAAGAAAATGCAAAATGGGGCTGAGGATGTGGCTCAGTGGCCAAGTGCCCCTGAGTTCAATCCCAGTACCCCCCTTCCCCAGAAGATATTTAGGTCTTGAGGAAGTTTATTTACATATAAGCATCCTTCTTAATGACTGTAGTGATACTAACAGTCAGGATATAAGTAGCAGATGAAAACCTTGTTTCATTTCTCAGAAGGATATTAGCAAGTCATACATCCCATAGATTAATGAAAAAAACTCTGCATTTAACTTTCAGTATATAAACTGGATCATTCTCTGCATATTATTTGAAACTTGCCTTTTTTCCAAACACACAGGCCCCCATCTCCCCTTTAATTTTATTGCAGTATAATTTTGGATAATTTTTTTTTAATATAGAGTTCTGAGCCTTTGGACAAGCATGAGGCATGTAACCACTGCCCAGAGAAGGATGGGGAAGGCCTGTCTCCCCTGCCCGCCTCCTGGACCACACTTGCCCTTTGCAAGCGAGGGTGCCGGGTGTAGAACCTGCCGTGGGCCTAGGGGTCCCCGTCCTCTGAGATTCCGCCTCCTGGGCCTCTTCTCAGTCTGTTCCTTTTCACATCCAAACAGTTTTCCCTGCTATGAAGCCACCACAGCTCAACTCCTAAGACACCGAGGTTGTTTCCTGTTTGAAGGGATTAGGATAAAGCTGCACTGGGCTGGGGCTGGGCTCCGTGCAGAGCGCTTGCCTAGCATGGGTGTGGCCCTGGGTTCGATCCTTAGCACCGCATAAACATAAACAAATGAAAAAAGAAATGCTGTCCATCGACAACTAAAAAACATCTTGAGAGTAAGAGTGGCTGTGAGCATATGTATTTGTGTGAACAAGCCCACATTAAACCTAGGCTGGGGCTGGGGCTGGGGCTCAGTGGCAGAGCGCTTGTCTACCATCCGTGAGACACTGGGTTCAATCCGCAGCACCACGAAAAAGTAAATGGATAAAGTAAAGGTATTGTGTCTATCTACAGCCCAAAACAAAGTTTTAAAAAAAGCAGGTTTTCACTTCACCTGGGCCTGGGCTTGTGTGTGTCATGTGGCTGGTGAACGCTCTGCGAGTTCCAGCGAACCCCCACTCTGCAGCCCATGTCCCCACCGGCTCTGTGGGGCTCCAGTGGGGGCACCCTGGCCCTCCGTGTTGCCTGGCTGCTTCCTTCTCAGCAGCTCCAGTGATGGAGTGACTCACGGGGCGGGGGCTGAGCGGCACACTGGCCGCACGCAGTGCCTGCCTTTTCCTTGGCCAGTCCCGCTGGGGGTCTCCAGTGTTCTTCTTCTTCTCCCCAGAAAATCAGCTTCTGTCTCAATGGATCTTCTCTGCATTTAGTTCTGTTTCATTGCCAGTTTCTTTATTATACCCCCTGGATAATTTGCTATTCTTTTCTAATTCATTGACTTTCTGTTTTG